TGACAAAGGAATTTTTATATTCGTATAAAACACTCCACAGATCATTTTCTCCACTTGCTACCTCCTCTCCTGAAGATATTCCCCTTGGTTTTCCTTTTACTGTGTTACGATTCAACATGCGCTGATTGCCCCTTGTCTTTTTTTTCCCCCAAGTGCAATTATTCATGTATGAGCCTTGAATAATCCTTGCATTTGGAGTTGCATTAAAAATTATCCTGTGATATTAATGAACATCTATATCCCAATCATGAATAATTCCAATTGAAACATGCACTAAGTCCTGGTGTTCACAAGGACCAATTCAAAGGGTGTTCACTGGACTGAATGGTTGCGCTTTCCATACTTGAAGCGGTAGTTGCTGTTCCAGGAGATGTGATGTATATTAGAGGTTCCAGACCTCAAAGAGTTAATGCGCTCGTGGAATGCTACATCAATAGATTGAAATTAAACTTCCAAGAACCAGAGTCATTCTACAGTATAACCTTGCCAGTCTAGAAGGATTTGTGATTTACACCAAAGATCTTCAATCTGCAGCACTGTTTTGTGTAACACAAATATGCAATATATTTACATAAGTCTACTTAACACAGTGGACATGTGAGACTAAACAGCCATGATCAGAAGATCAGTGCACTCCTCCAGGCAGCACAGTTAACTGTTGTGGTAGGCAGATGCAGAACAGAGACCTTCCCTTGTTCTCAACCCCCTCATCCTCTCCACCAACAAACTTGTGCCTGCTGATTCTCGAGGGCATCAGCTCTTGACCTCCACTTGGCTTGCTTACCCCACCCCTACTACAGACACACACACATAATACCCTAGACCAGGTGTGCATTAAATAAATTTTGTGGGAGGTTTTACAGTGTGAAATCCTAGGTATGTCTCTTGGCTTCAGTTGAAAATGAGTTGATTGTTCTGTAAGTTACCCTGAAATTGAGGATTTATGAAACTTGAGGGAAAAATTGCATCCTATGCATACATTATTCAGCAGTTACAGGAAAGTTTGTCAGGTTGTTACTGTTGAGAAGTTCATGTCACAAGCGGTTTGTGGAACACTGTACCGTGTGAAAATGTGGCTGCCGCGTTCGCTTACAAATGCAGTCACCACACTTTACAGGAAAGTTCCACTAGCTCCCTCGCTCCCAACAGATGATATTTCAAGATCCTCATTCTTGTATATTATCAAGGCGGCAGTTATCAAGGATCATGGTTGGATGATGGAATGGACAGTTAAGGTTCAGGGGTAATATAACCCTGCACTGTTTGCCAATCTCCACAGCAGAAAAGGCATACAGCCGAGTATAACTAGCTCTTTCTTAATTCAGTCTAATGAAGACTTTTATTTCCTTCATCCCTGAAAGAGTTGATTGATCTAGCTTGGTTTCACAGGTGCTGGGAGCTTTACTGGTACAATCTGTGTGTGTGCACGGAGTGTGTTGGCAGGCTGGTACTGTGGAAACTCACAGCCGATCCTGAACTTCTCCCAAAGTCCAAACAAACTCTCCAGCGGGAGTCACTGGATGGTGTGATGAAGAGCAGTAATCCTGACTGATTTACTCTTTTCTTTTCCACTCTCCCCAGCTTGGGAAGACTTCACTGAGACCAATTACAGTAAAACTCAGTAAAAGTCTGATCTGCATAAATCATATCGTCGCCTAAATTGTACATCCACACAGGTCCCGGTGAATTTCCCGTTATTTTTAAGTTTCACATAACTCATACTTTGCATAAGTCGTATCAAATGTAGGTCCCAACGGATAGGACTTATGTGAGCCATAACTTGGAACAGCTCAGCCCAGAGTGGTGAAACCTTCTGAACTGATAGCTGAGCCACACATTGAGCAAAATGACTTGTGGTGACTTGTGGTACAGTACTCACCGAGCCAGCGAGGGGGAGTCCTGTCTAACCCAACTTAAGATCAGTTTCCAAAAGCTTTTGATTTTTTTTTACACCACTGGGTTTGGTTTTCTGCCCGTGCGCCTTACTTACTTACTTACATTACTTACTTACTTACTTACATTACTTACTTACTGGTTAAGGTTTTTTTTTTACGACCTGTGACAAGTGGAAACTTTTACGAGCGCTGCGGTGCGAATATAAATAAAAATTAAGTGCTCTGCTCACAAAAAAAAAAGTCTTTTTTTTTATGATTATAAACTACAGGGCAGCTTGGCCTGTGGGTGTGTAACAGTGAGTGAGTGAGTGAGTGTGTGGCCACAGCTTGGATTGGAGTATCGGATCTCCCTCATTGAGCATCACATGTGGTGGAGCTCTTTAAACTTTTTCCCTTATATGGTAGCGAGTGTCTGAGAGTATTTTTTTTTACCTTGTGTTCTTTTTGGGGGCGTTTTTTTCCCCCACTCTCTCTCTCTCTGTGTGTGTGTGGGACTGACTACCTTAGATGGCAAAGAGAAAAAAAATCTCTGCATCAGGAAATGTTTAAATTGCCCGATGGTTGCTCCTCGACCCGGCGCTGCATATTTTCCCCAGGAGTAAACTTCGTGCGATCCAGACTTGAGGAATTGTCAATAATGTGCGGAATGCGAACGCCTCGAGTCCCGAAACTGCTCTTTTTTTTTCAAAAAAAAACACACACACACGCACACACACACTCGCACTCGCACAAACAGACAGAAGAAACATTCCTCTTCGGATGTTCGTGGCAGCATATTTAATAGGAAAAGAATTTCTCACGAAAGGGGGTGATGGAGGGGGTGATGGAGGAGGAGGAGGAGGAGGAGGGGATGGAACAGGAGTGGGAGAGGAGTGTGTGTTTTTTTTTGTATTTAAAACTAAAAACAATTCGCATCGAAAACTCTCGGAGCCTTTTTCCTATTAAAACAGTCACCACACGTACGTGAATTACGATTGGAGCCGCATCCAGAGAGGGAAAGGGACAGCGATCTGTGTCTGTGTGACACTGTGTGAACCAGGACTGTGACTGTAGACTCTGCTCAGTGTTTTTGTGTAGTACTGTTGAGACTCCCTCGCGAAATATGTACTTTGACTCCAATGCCATAAAAAGAGATTGACGCGGTGCTCGGAACGTGAAAAGCTCTTACTTTTATCATTATGATCATTATGTTTGGGGGTGAAGCCATTTGCCCCACAAAACGTTAGTCTTTCTCGAAGCATTTAAAGAAATCAACGCTTACGTGGAAAGATCTCAGACCACTTCCCCAATGACCTGTCGCGATCTAAGTGTCCGGTGTGTCGGTCACCCACGTTATCCAAAGGGAAGTGATAACTATATCGTGTGAATGCACCATTCTCGACAACTTGTGCTCACACTCTTCGATCATCAGAGACCACTCTCGTTTGATGCGACGCGCACCGTTGACGCTCCTCCGACGATAGACAGATCGATAGCTCACGTTAATTGAACAAGGGTTTGGGGTGATGGACGGCGAGTTTTTTTTTTGCGTGGAGTGTCACATGGACCAGCGGGGGGGGGGAAAAAGAGCCATTCCAGCTCCTGTCACAGGGACCCAAGCGTGGGAATTCACAGTTATAAGCTCTCCCATTTCCTGCCCGGCCCTCCATCCAAGCGGCCAACCCGACCCAACCGGTCACTGCTTCCTCTGTAACTTTCCCTCTGAGCCCAAAACTGCACCGAGCAGTGTGTGTGTGTGTGTGTGTGTGTGTGTCCTGGTCAGATCCTATCTCGATGCCCAGCTTTGCAGTGAGTGAGTGGTGCGTTTGACTCTCAGCGGCGAACGCTGCACAGAACCCAGAGCCCAATGCACAGAACCCAGAGCCCAGTGCACAGAACCCAGAGCCCAGTGCACAGAACCCAGAGCCCAGTGCACAGAACCCAGAGCCCAGTGCACAGAACCCAGAGCCCAGTGCACAGAACCCAGAGCCCAGTGCACAGAGCCCAATGCACAGAACCCAGAGCCCAGTGCACAGAACCCAGTGCACAGAACCCAGTGCACAGAACCCAGAGCCCAGTGCACAGAGCCCAATGCACAGAACCCAGAGCCCAGTGCACAGAACCCAGTGCACAGAACCCAGAGCCCAGTGCACAGAGCCCAGTGCACAGAACCCAGAGCCCAGTGCACAGAACCCGGAGCCCAATGCACAGAACCCAGAGCCCAATGCACAGAACCCGGAGCCCAATGCGAGATCGATGCCTGACGAACCCTGAGTCCCCCCTTTGGGAGTCGCTCACTGGAGGGGGATTTCAACATAATGCAAACACATCAGAGGAAACGCACCCAGTTCTGTACACGCGTCATTACGTGTCTGCCATCCTATTCCTTGCTGGGGTTGGGGGTTGGGGGGGGGGGTGCAGATCCACATTTGATCATCACTTCTGTGGCATTCTCGTGTATTTTTTTTGGAGGGGGAGAAATACCGTCGTATCGACCCGATTTGCAGACTGAACACATATAGCACCGTCGACAACAATAACAACAGCAGCAGCAACAAAAAAACAGCCCAGACAATCCTACGATTAAAATTCACTGTCTGTCTGTCTGTCTGTCTGTCTCAGAGCTCATATCAATCTGCCAGAGTCTCTCCCCCCCCACACCCCCCCACACACACACCCCCAGGGAACTGTTTTTGTAACTGCAGTGCTCGATGCTGTCAATCTGCAGTGGAAGCTGTTTGTGTATGTGTGTGTGTGTGTGTGGAGGAGCAGATTATAGTTTCTACATGTCACCATTTCTCAGACACAGGTCCCCCCCCTCCTTCCCCGCCCCCCCCCCCCCCCCGACACACAATGTAACCTACAACTCACCGGCGGAAGATTGCAACATACACGGGATCGACGTCCCTTTGGACCAATGGAAACTCGGGGCGGTGGCAAAGGAGGAGGGGGGGGGGGGTGGGGGGTGTATGGGGGGGGGGAGGGCTGTTGCTTTTGAAGTGCCGCCGTCGGCGTAGAGCATCTAATGGATACAGCCTGGGGGGGGGTTGGGGGTGAAGGCGGGATTTCCGCGTCGATCTTGGGCTGAGAAGAAGAGGGAGGAGGAGGTGGGCGGGGAGGGAGGGAGGGAGAGAGAGAGAGGGGGGGGTGGGTGCAGAGCAGAGCACAGCAAGACAGGCTGACTGTGTGTGTGTGTGAGTGACTGTGTGAGTGACTGTGTGTGTGTGTGTGTGTGGAGCAGTGAGAGTTGCATTGAGATCGAGCCTCTGCCTCAGCCTCAGCAACATGCAGAACACGGATCACTACGACTCCAACCACTCCGAGACCAACGATTACATGCAACCGGAGGAGGACTGGGACAGAGACCTCCTGCTGGACCCGGCCTGGGAGAAGCAGCAGAGAAAGGCAAGTGGTTGGGCGGTTTGGTTCTGCACAGCACTGAGCTCAGCGGCAGATCTTCCCACTCCCCCAACGGATTAAAGCGCTCTCTCTCCTAAATCGTGTCCTTGCAATGATAGGGCTCGTTTTCGGTACACGTTCATATTCATCCAAACCCCAAACCCATTTTTTTTTTGGGGGGGGGGAGGGATGGGGGGGGGTGTGGGGGTGGAGAGAAAACACACCCCGATAGTTTTGTTCACACCTTTGAACTAACTCAGGTACACTGTTGTGAAACGATCAGGTGAAAGCGTTCCATTTATTTCTGTGTCTCTCTTTTTTTTTGCAAGTCGTTTCTTTCTTATTGATGGCCACGTTCAAAAGTATATATTTTTTCTGTGGAGAGAGGGGTGGGGGGGGGGGGGGCTGGTTTGCCTAAAGTTTGTGCGTGTGTGTGTGTTTGTGTGTGTGTGTGTGTGTGTGGGTTTGGATCATAATGGAATGGTTGGAGGGAAGGAGGGAAAGGGCGATTGGAAGTTATGTTGAACCACGTTAAACGTTAGTGCAGTAGTCGGTTCTCTCCGGTAAGTGAAGCGCTCGGAGTTGCAGAGATGCAACAGATGGTCACTGCAATGTGTCTCCACGATCAGCAATGCAGCATTGGTACCCCCACACACCCCCCCCCACACCCCCCACACACACACCCCCCACACACACCCCCCCCACACACACACACCCCCCACACCCCCCACACACACACCCCACACACCCCCCCACACACACCCCCCCACCCCCCACACACACACCCCACACCCACACCCCCCACACCCTCTGCGTTTGGAAAACAGGTAGAATTCGTAAACGAGACCTTGTTTTTGTTCAGCGCAGTGCAGGAAACCTGAAAAGGTGGAGCGATCGCGACAAAAATCAATTAAAAAAAAAAGGCCAATTCGGTGTAACTTTGCCAAACCAGAGGGTGACACTGATCCACGGCGTGAGCTGATCTGGGTGTCACTCCGGCTTTACGCAGGTAGTCAGTCTCCACATTTATTTAATTCACTGATCCCCTGTGGGAAGGTTTCCCAATCCCCACACACACACGATCTCACCACTCAAAGTCCACCAGAGGTGACCCCCCCCACCCTCCCTCTCCCCCTCTCCCCCCCACCCTCCCTCTCCCCCCTCTCCCCCACCCTCCCTCTCCCCCCTCCCCCCCACCCTCCCTCTCCCCCCCACCCTCCCTCTCCCCCCCTCTCCCCCCCACCCTCCCTCTCCCCCCACCCTCCCTCTCCCCCCCACCCTCCCTCTCCCCCTCTCCCCCCCACCCTCCCTCTCCCCCTCTCCCCCCCACCCTCCCTCTCCCCCCCTCCCCCCCACCCTCCCTCTCCCCCCCTCCCCCCCACCCTCCCTCTCCCCCCCTCTCCCCCCCACCCTCCCTCTCCCCCCCTCTCCCCTCTCCCCCGACGATCGTAATTTAAACGCCGACCCTAATTCCGAACAAGAATGGTTTTGAAACGGGGTTCAGTCTCTGATCCGCTATCCTCCTGTCCCCCCGACCCACGTTCTTTTGGAAACGGGAGAAAGAATTTTCTTTTTTAAAAAAAATGCAGCGATGCGATTCACATCGCGCGTTCATCATCAGCTCTGTCACCGCAATTAAGCGACGAGGGGTTTGGTTAACCTGTTGAGCGAAACTGCAAAGCGAAGGCAGACGTTTATTGTGGTTTTATTGTCATTCCTTATCTGCATTAGGTGGGGATCAGGGCTTTGAACATGAGCAATCTTTTCCAAAACAGGTTAATGGTCAGAGTGTAAAGTGCTCTATTCTCGATCTGTGCCTAAGGTGTGTGTCTCTCTCTCTCTATATATATATTGTATATATGGTTTGAAACTACGAGCTGTCTTTTCAATAAAAAAAAAGTTATTGTGTGTTCAATCCCCATTTAAAATGTGGACAGAGCGAGCTGTCAGTGAACATGAAAGCTGTTTAATACAAATGAGCTAATCCTTAGATTTTCTGCTTGAATCCTATTGTAATGAACTGAAACGTGCAGTTTATATCCTGACTTTTTTTCAAATGCCTGCGTTAAAGATTGATTTGAGGTTTACTGCCGAGTCCGTTAGGTTTTTTTTAGTTTATAAAAAAAATGTATATAGGAAGTTGGAGAGCACAAAAAAAGTTGCAGAATCCAGACAACAATGTGGAAAATATTTCTGAGTTCCTCATAGTTGGGTAGGATTAGGGTTGGGTTAGTACTCCGCAGTCATGTCCAAAAATGGTAACAGTCATCCTTTATATACAAGTGTTTGATTTGTCTTGGCCAGAGGCTTTTCGCATTAGGTCATTTTAACGTGTTGGGCATCTATCATCTCTAATGTCTGAACTTTTCTAATGTGCAGTTGAGTGAGGATACATTCATGCAACTTAACATAACTTAACGTTCGGGTTATCTTAACAGTGCTTTCAATAAATGTTGACGTAAGTTATAAATGCAGAAAGGAATGCGACATTGACTTTTCTCCTTACCTCAAGCTTTTCTCTTCATTTAAAAAGAGTGGACTGAAATGTAAAAAAAAAAGCAAAACCTACCATCTTGAATGACAACAGATATACCTTGAAATATATAAAATGAGTCCAATATTCATTGGAACCAGGGTACCTAGAATCTGTGTTGACCATTGTCTGTTAGGAAAATCCCAGGTAACTCAGTCAGTTGAGCCTGGAAGGTATCCTGGTTTCCAGTTAAAATCCCAATTGGAGCCACTCAGCCATTGTGGAAGATTGAAATGAATCTCCTGACTACAAATATCCTGATGGGGAAGAGGCAAGGGGTTAATTGGCTCTGAGGAGACTTGACTGGCAAAACCAGGCAGATCCACAGCAATCCCAAGCCCAAAGGTGTAAGATGTGTCCTTTAAACCCCTCCTAGACATTTCTTTGTGCGCAGTTTGGGCAGACAGAGTTGCCAGGCCTCTGCCCATGCTGTTTTACTGCTGGCTGCTACTGTTAATACACCCTGGCAATCCTCTCTCCCCTCCCTTCACAAGGCCCCAGCTGAGAGTGGGCTGCAGAATTTCAGAAACCTATGTGGATCATAAAATCTTTTAGTCATTTTCTTTTGAACGATTAGAAATCCTGCCTCACAAAAGTCTTTGGCACCATTGCTGCAGTCCTCAAAAAGGTTAAGAGCAGCAGCTTCCCAGGCGATTTGAAAGCTCCATCCTGTGTTTGAATGTGTTGCTTTTTATAGCGCAGACTCTGTGTTGCAGGTTTAATGTGTCCGAGCTTTGAAACACTCTATGCTGGCAACAGCGTTACTGTGTAGTTTCTGCTTTTTGATGTATTTGTTAACTGTTGCTGCTGTGCTTGAAAGGATTGTGAGTGCTGGCTGCTGCCATTCTCTGTGTTGTCACCACTTCAATTCAGAAACCTTCCAGTAGCCTTACAATACAAAGTGATTGAGATTATTCATATCTTCAGGGTTCTTGAGGGTCGCACGGGAGATACTTCAACGGTCTATGATGTTGATAGTGAAATAAATCAGTTTGTGGAGAGAGTGAGCAGAGAACTGTGCTGGGCATGGATGTATGTTGTGGCAGTGCTTAATATACATCCTTTAAGCGCTCTGAGACCCTGCCTGGCGTGGAGAGCTTTATATAACTGCAAGTTGTTGTTGTTGTCCATCCTTCCTTTCTTCCATCAGATCTTAAGCATACCAATCATCAAATGTAGATTCTGTCACTGAATCACAAGCTTCAATCTCAGTTAGCAGACCTATTTGCTTCCCTACCCTATATAATATACATGTAAAGCCTCAGTCTTTGGTTTCTCTTCCTCTTCTCGTTCTCCCTGCCCCCCGAACAAGTCACAGACTGTGGGTGTTAGGACAGGTTGTCTGATGAACAGGGCTTCTGCTAAAGGTTTCCAAACAGCAAGCTCAGGATAATGTCCATTGGGAGCTCTCTAATTTTGTGTTTTTTTTAAAAAAAAGTGTTACCTGAGAAAAAGTTGAGGTGTTAAATTGAAATAAGATCCTTGTAATATGGGGCTGCCCTGGTAGCACTTCACCTCAGTCCGAGGTCCAGAGAATTGAGGAAGTTGTCGGTGACTTTAGTCGGAGCAACTTTTTGGTGCGTAAACCAGACTGATGGAGGGTTGAAATCTATTACAATGCCAGTTTCAGATGGTTCCAGTGTGCTACAATTGAGGCCAGAGCTTTTGTGGTCCAGCGGACGTTCGGTCTCTAGGAGGAGAAAATGGTACCATTTTGACTTCCCTCTTATGGATGCTCAGAACCATCACACAGCTCAAATGACCCAGTTACCACAGCAACATTTAACTTCGCTTTTTAAACTTTTTAGATTTTTTAAAACAACCCCTCCACCCCTCTCAATCCAGTGAGTGATGGGCTCATCTCTAGAAGACCAGGGGATTTCTAAGGATATAAATTTATGATATTTTAAAAACTACAAGCAAAATAAAGAAGTGGTTTTAAAATGCAATGTAATTGCTTAGTGGTACTATCAACAGGAAGTGTTTCTTTTAGAACATTTTATCAGGCCAAAAAGGAAATGTGCAAATGCCAAAGAAGTGAACATCAGTCCATGCAGATGTTCTTTTCTATACAGCTGGGTAATTTTACAGTAAAATGTTATGACTCTGACCAAACTACTAGACTGTCCCAGAGAGTGAGAATGAGAAAGACAAAGGTAGTGCTAATCAGACTTTTAGAAAATGTGCATTGTAGATGTGTGATTAAAATTAAGGTACACCAAGGTGTGAAAATCTGTCCTTGGATCCTTTTTGACACTATCTGACTAGTTGCTAAAGCATTCAAGTGCTTGCACAGTGGGGTGTTGAGGTCAGGATTTGGACGACTTGGCTCATGTCAGCCGAATGATCCACATTACACAATGCATCATTAGGCCGACGTGATAAAGTGGTATATCAAATGCAAGGATTATTATTATATTGGAAGAGAGATGCAACACACAAGTCTGTTAGCAGGAAGAAATGTACAAGTGCT